CACGATCACGAACTGTTTCTACAAATACAAAACAAAAAAAAAAAAAACAAGAAACTTTTTAATCTTCAAACATGAATTTGAAATTAACCTTCCATCAATATATTAATTGTTGCAAGTTCTTGTTGATGTCTTTGTTTTAAATCAGCTATTTCAGCTATTTTAGTTGAATCAGCAAAGTCTACAACAGCTGTTAAATTATTTAATTGAGTTTGTAAGGATTGTAATTCATTTTTATATTGATTATTCTCATTTTGTAATTTCGATATATAATCTTTTATATGATCGGGTAATTGAGATAAATCTTTTCCGATAAAAGAAAATAAAATTTATAAATCAATATTTAAAAAATAAAAATAAAAAAAAGTAGATTAAATGTCTTTTTTGTTTTATTACCAATTATTTCCGTCATTGCTGCTATTATTATTATTTATTACAGAACAAAAATAACTAACTGACCCGATTCGATCGATTATTTTTATTTTTTTTTTTGTATGATTTATTTCTTAACCAACTAGATGTGTACGAGAAGTAAGAGAAAAAAAAAGATGTCACTATGAACTAAATTGTTCGTCTTTGAATAGTTTTTGTTTTTTTAAATGTTCTTTCATTTTTTGTTCTTCATCAAGTAAATGTTGAAAATAATTTTCTTGAAAATTAGCTATTTGTGTATGTTTAAATTGTCGAAGGTCAGCAACTTTTTGTATCATTAATAAACGACGTTGTTGTTCTAGACGTTCTTGTTCTTGTCGTTTTTTTTGATGATGCTCATAACGAAGCATATTTAATGCTTCACTAATCAGTAAGAAAAATTTTTATTTTTATTTTTGTTATTTAATGTTTATTTTACCGAGCATCACGTAATGCGGTTAATTTTTCTTGAAGTGTTTCAAAATGTTGACGTTGATCATCTAGATCATGTTTTAATTTTTCAAGATCAGTTGCACATGTTTGAAGTGATATAAATGCAGAAAGTAGTGCAGTATCTCCTATGACATCACGATTACGTTGATCTATAAATATTCAATAATTATGAAATAAGGATACTTGAAAAAAAAAAGAGAGATTAATAATATTGAGAAGATTAAGTAAACAAGAAACGAAATTTTCATATTTGAGAGTTCAATTTTCAAGTGAATGAATGATTCAAAAAAATTAAAAAGAGTCTAGCCAGTGTAGACATTTTATGAGATTGTTTTTTTTATGGTAGGTAATATTGAAGAATAGTCTTATAATATTTCTATGAAAGATGATTATAAATGAATGGTGAATTTTTAATAGCAAAAATAGATTCATCTCTCTCATCTTGCACTAACTTGGAGACGAAAGGAGAGTGAGTAAACTAATGACGTTATTGTATAATAAAGTCCATAAGAGTATTAAAATGATATCTATGTCAGAATTAAAGAGAAATGGGTGTGATCTTAATAACTCGACGACGGCGATAGCTGGCGATCTATACGATTTTCAGCAATCGAAAAAGAAGAATTCTGAAAGTTTTTTTTTTTTTTATCGAAGACAAAATTATACTAACACTTATCATCTTTGTAAAACACTCAAAAAGATTCATGAAAACGATGGTTGTTTTTTTCAAGAAAATCTATATTATTTGACCAAATAGATACGTAATTTTGTTTGTTCGATGTTGAGATTTGAGAAGATAATTATGTCAATCATACCTTGAACTATATATCTGAAGTCCTTCTATTTGAAGAACGTGTCAAAATTAAAATTACATCGAAATAGAACACTAGTTTCATGCATTTTTTTTTGAGTGTTTTCTCAGAATGATGGAATTTAAAATAATTTTGCCTTATAGAATATCACAATAAAAAAAGCATCAGCTGTTCTCTTCTTTAGATTGTTAACAATCACAAGTCGCTAACTATTGTTGGATTATTGAGATTATGTCCATCCTTCTTTAATTCTGATGCGAAATGTCAATTCGAATTTTGTGAAAATCTTCTATTGGCATTTTCTCTCATATTCTTTATCATGAACATAACACATATCGACAATATATAATAAGCGACATTTTAGAGTGATATTTTTAAAGAGCTCTTATTTTCATTACAATCAGTTTGAATGATGGTATTTATCATAAGTATTTACATTAAATCGATTTATTTATCATTCTTCATAAATATTACAGTTCAATATCGAAATTAATTACACTTCTTTTAAATAATTTAATTTCATATTAAAGTAATTTGACTTCAAATATTTATAGATTCTATTTTGACATTTATTTTTATATGATTTAAGCGCTTGAAGGAAAAAACCAAAGTGAAATCTATATAATTAAAAATCCTGAATTATATATTAGCTGTAAAATAAGGATGCTATTATTTCACCGTAAATATTTCAAAATGCTTTTAAATTTGACAAAGAAAAGATCTAATTTAGTAACAAAGATTATCATTTCATTGTAATAAAACATACTATTTGATGTTAAACAGTTGAACTGTAGTTCCGTCAACAAGAACTACCTAAGGGTATAATCATCAAATGAAATGATTGTGAAAATTATCTTGCTAAGCTAGATCAGTCATCTCATTCTATTCATTATCATTATATGAGTGTAAATACAGTTCTTTGACGGATTTCCACTATGAATTTCCTTTTGTATAGTAATGAATTTTATCGAATAGATGAACAAAATAGAACTAACTTCATACATATATACACATCGGATCATATACAATAAGTTGAATCAATGCTTTGATTTTAATTTTCCGCTAGATTAATTTGATATTATATCAAATAAATTTGACTTACAATTGCTTTTTGCTCTATTCATAAATCTTTCAATTGCTTCTGTAATTTTTTCTAATAAATTTTCATGATTATCATTGAATTCTATTTTGACTATTTGATTTATTTTGTCAATATGAATACTTTTATTTTCATTAAATTTTCTTTTCTGTTTTAATTTTTCATCAGCTTCATTTTGTGATAATGATATAGCTAAAGCTAATTGATAATCATCATTATCATTTTCTTGTTTTTTTCTTGTTGAATGATTTAATGTTTGTGAAAGTAATATTTTTATACATGTTGAACATATTCGTTTTATATTTGTATTAGTTTTTTTTGGAAGTAAATCAATTAAAAGTTTATAATCATCAGATATTTGTAATTCTAACCAACATTGATTACAATGTTTTGTTGAACAATAGAAACATTGTTTAAATATTTCTAAAAATTTTGTTCGAGTATGACAACGTGAACAAATATTATCTTGATTATCTATGACCATATTATGAAATAATAAATAATAAAAATAATGAAACATATTTATTTATATTATGTTGACAAGGAGATTCTTAGACAATTTCGAATGAACTATTTTGGTATAAGATTGAAAGAGAGAAAAAAAACAGAAAGGACAAATAAGTTTTGTTGGATGTATGTGAATGTATAACGAAAAGAACGAGAGAACTCGGCAAACAAATACACACACACGAACGAATGGATGAATGAAGAAAAAAAAAATTTTGAGGTATACAAATATACATAATGATTCGATAGACGTATACGTTGCATGCATATTTTAATCACTGAACTCTCTTGCCCGTGTTGACAAGTAGCAAGTACGAAATTTTGTTCGGTAAGAATACAACTGATGTAATATATATATATAATTATAGGTCCACATCATATTTTCTATATATTTTTGATTAGTTTTTCTCGTCAAGGTTATGTTAGTTTTTGAATGTTAATAGAATGACATTGAAAATTATTGACAAAAAAATAGCATTTGATCGTGTACGATCGCAATGGAAACTTAATCCTTTTTTTGCTCGGAATGGATATTTGATTATTGGCAATGTATATTGAGGTCACTTATTCTTACAATGATGTCTGGACATGATGAAAAAAAAGCATTTTTCTTTTGTGTGTCGCGTCGTTTGACCTAACAACAGAAGTAATATAACGATCTTTTTTTTTTCATGTCATTCAAATAACTGAAAACGTCTAGTTTTGTTCATAATACAAACGGTCAATTCAACGCTTAGAGGTGTGACGAAGTTTTATTGTATGATTTTTTTTCTACGTAGACAAATATATGTTGATCCATGAGATAAGGAAATAGAGCATGATGAATAGAAGGAAAGAAGAAAAGGAAGGCAATTGTCTTCGTTTGTTGAACAGACAAACAGGAGTAGCCTGTATGGGCGGTATATCGGTTACAATACACAGAGAGTTAAACATAACGTTGAAACAAATTGATCATGCTAAGAGAAAGATCTAGTTGCATTCATCTTTTTTTTCTTGTTTTTGATGATCATTTTTCAGATAAGACAGAAAAGGATTATTTATTTATTAAGGCCAGATGTATTCATATATCATAGAAAGTAAAACCTAAATGCGTGGGTCAAATTTTTTTTTTCTCTACGAATGTCATCAATGAGATTTTATTCATTATGCTAAACGAGCTAGACACAGAAAAAAGAGAAGAGAAGAAAAATTAAACATGTTGAATGAAATCATTGAGTATGTCATATTTGTTTTTTTTTTGTCATCTTGTCGTTAATATTATTATGCTAATCATTATTTAGTCTGTTATTGAAAATCATCATATTTTGTTTGCGGTAGAACAATCTTCTTTTCCTGAATAATCAGCGTGAAAAAAATCAATTCTTTTTTCTATCTCACTTCTTCATTTCCTTTCTCTTTTTTTTTATTCTTCTAACTATATTATTCTAAAGACAGATGATAGATTTGTCTTTTGCTCGGCACATCAATGAACATAATTTGTTTGTTAGTTGTTTTTTTTTTGTAAAAGGAATTGCGAGTTTAAATATTTTATCTTCTAATTATTTTATATGTATTGTATATTTTGCAAATTAATTATATGAATATTAATTGAAGAGAAAAAGAAACGGATTAGATGAAGAAAATATTTCTATATCATTTCAGTTTGTGACATTTTATTCTTTTAGGCGATGTTGTGGCCTTTGAACAATCTTGATACACGTCCTTGACATTAGAAAATAAAAATGAGCATATCTATGTTTAAATTTATCAATAAATTGGCTCTAATTATATTATGCATTATTGGTCTTATAGAATTGGGATTAGCTATGTGGACAGTACTTGAGAATCATTATAAAACGTTAGCATACAATCTTGCTGATGCTGGTTTTATTGTAAGTTTTTCACAGAAAAACAAAATGAAAAATTATTCTTTATTGATTTTTATTGAATAGGATTTATGGATACTACGATATTTATCAATGTGTTTATTTACTTCATCAATCATTACATTAGTCATGTGTCTTATTTTAACATGGGGCTTATATTCAACACATGTATTTATATTTATTTCAACGACAATGATTACTTTAGTTATTATTGCAGAATTAGCAATATCAATAATAACATTTACAAATAAATTTCAAACGAAATTAACACTTCAAGAACAATTACCAAAATTAGGTAAATTAGATTGATGTAAATTACTATTGAATTTAATTCTTTTTGTTTTATTATTATTACTAAAGTAATTACTTATCGACAAGGTAATGATGAACGTGCTAATCGAGCTTTAGATATTCTGCAAGTAGCATTTCGTTGTTGTGGATCTGATGGACGTTTATCATATCAAAACAATGTTCCACCAAGTTGTCATATGTATAGTGTTGGATGTCTTACGCGTACAATGTTTTTTCTTGATTCCTGTATGAATGTATTAGCTTCGATATTACTATTATTTAGTTTAATTAAATTACTTCTTGTTATCTATTTTTATTCATTTCTTTGTATGTATGAACAATATAGACAAAAACATCACAAAAATAATTCCCATTTAATAAATGAATCTTCTCATTGGCGTAATTCATCAAGTTTTGAATCATCATCATCAGACAATCTACCAAAGAAAATTCTTCTATCATCTGCAGTAACAAATCAAGATAAAATTACTAATCATGATAATGAATATATTGAAAAACGACGTATTGTACTTAATGAATATGACTCACAATTACCAAATAAACGAGTACAAAATGCTGCAATGATTTTACCACCACCACCACCACCACCACCATTACCACCACCATTAAATAATAATATTTCAGCACCACCTTATGAACAACAAGTATCAAGAAAATTATCAGCAATATCAGAAAAAAGTGAACGAACTGAAACTGATGATAGTGAACCTGATCTATTACGTATTAAACAATATAATCCAAAACGAAAAGCAATTATAACTGCTGTTAATCAAAAACAAAAACAACCACCACCACCACCACCATTACCTAAAAAATTACCAATGATTAAAAGTCGAAGAAAAATCGGACGAGATGATGACAACGATAATGATTCAGGTATTTTTCAAATAAGATAATTGAAGAAAAATCAAAATACATTGATTGAAAAAAATTTTGCATTCATGAGTGTTATATAATAAAGAAAACTAGTAGGAAGACAAAGATCTATAAGAACGTTTTATTGCTAATTTTTCAATTATGAATAGATATGGTTTGGATTGACGTTTCTGATTATGATTAAAAATTCAATTAGTTAGAACATGCTCAATTTACATTTTTTTCTATATCGTATTAAAACAAGGGTTGAAGTATCTGTTTTCTCGAGTACTCTATTCTTGAAGAAATACTATATTTCTTATAAATATATGAAAACTCTACGTTTTTCATTAATCAATGGAGTATGAAGAAGAATATTTTATAATTTAATATAGCGAACTTTGTTAAAGTTTTTCTCTCAACGAAAGTCAAATACAGAATTCTTGTCACTTAATTGAATTGATATAATCTAAACTACGTAATTCAACGTATTTGACAACTACCTAATATGTAGTATCTTGAAGATCTATATGCGTTCTTTATTTAAATGACATTCTTTATCATATATGCTAGCATTTTACGTATAAAATTAATCATATAATTGGATACTTCAATATTCTGCATCTTTCTACGCAATATACTATGAGAAATACACATTTTTTTCTTCGTTATAATATATCTGAGTAAATAAAATCTGCCAGTAACAGATGCTCTATTGAACCTTAAAATAATCAATATCTTTCTTTTTGTTTTTGTTTTTAATCAGGTGTAGAACGATCATCATCAGAAAAATCTTTCGAAGATCAAAACACAAACAAACGAAATTCTGATACTCCACCATCAATTGATACGAATAGAAAACAAAAAATAACAACAAATAAATCCAATGGCAAACGACCACCAACATTAAGTTTTTCTAATGTTTTTGTAACATCTGTTTCACAAGGTGATATAACAGAACAATCACAAAATGATGATATTAAAAATCCTTTAACAACATCTCCATCAACATCTTCATCATTATCTGATAAATTATTATTAACTGATGTAACAATACCAAAACCAATATTAAAAAAATCTAATCAACAATCATCACCATCAAGTGATCAAGATCGTATTCCACCAAGTTATCAGGATCAAAAAAAATTTTCATCTATTATTAATTCAAAATCTTATGTTAAATTAACGGAACAACATTTTATCTCTAATCCAACCAAAATTCATATGCCTTATAAAACAAAAAATTCTTTATTACAAAACATACCAAAACCAGCACCACGTCCAAGTTTAAAACAGTCGTCGATTAATAAACAAGATGAAAGCCTTGTTTAAATATCTTTATTTGTTTTGCTTTTATTTCGAAATAAAATAGGTGTTATAAAATTTATGTTTTACTCAATTCTTTTAATTTTTGTTTTTGTATAAATAAATATTCTTTTTCTTTGTTTAAATGAGCTGAATTTCTTAAAATAATGATCTAAAATGAATTCTATACACAATCATTTCTCTCTAATATATATTACAAAGAATATTATTGAAGTCCATTGAACATGATTTTTTAGATGGAAATATTATACAAAAATCTTACTATAAGAGTCTTTTGAAATCTGGTAATTGAAATTTTGTAAGATCTTATACGATCATATCAGATCATAAGTGTAGATCTTACTTGTACCAATAGTTTTGCTAACGAAAGTTTTGTGCATTTAAATAAATATTTAAACAATTAAATAAGTTCTATGTTAGACGCTAATTTTTTTTTTTTTGGAATTAAAAACACATCATGTGTTTAGTAGTGCTGATTTGTTAGAAAATCACGCCAGATATGATTTGGTTGACTTGAAGTAGGTTTTCTCTTGTTTAAATTGTTTATTTTATTATTTTACATCGTTTTAAAGATCAAATTCAATAAAAATATTTTTAATTGTCTATTAAGCACATATTGTTATATTTTAGTGAAGATAAAAGATGTTCTTAAGAAAACAAGAAGATAGAAGCCGAAAATAGAAGAAAATCAGCTATGCGACGTTGTAGAAAATCATTCGTGAATGGTATAAGACCTGACATTAAGGTCATGTAATAACTCATTCAACACAATTTTATCAGAAATGATGATCTTGAAATTGGCATATAAAATCGTACAAGATCATATACAATTTTTAGATGAGCATGTGTTTACACTTCAATATTTTGTTTTCTGTGCTTGTAACCAATCATGAAAAGTTCAATTTTCAAGATGTGTTTTCGCATAGGATTGAACAGCAAACTAAACAATAACGAAGATATTTCGTGGATAGAAGATTCGGATTGAAAATTATTTCTGATGAAGTTTGTTCGTTTGAAATGTTTTTTGTTAGTTATTTCGATGATTATTCGTTGATCTAAGATTTTATATTTCATCATAAAGCAAATATCTACATTCAACTGAAAGCTTAAATCAATCATTGCATATTTAAATTTCAGACATTCAGGAAAACACATTCTCTTGCTAATGATACGAGAAAAACATAAAAATAATATAATGTCAGAATAACCGAAAAAAAAGCCTCCAACGATTGAAATGAACTTTTAAGTTTGGCACAGCAGGAAACAAAAAAATGTTGTGTGTGGTTTTTTTCTAATTTGCCGAGTCGGATAGACATAATTTGATATTTTCATAAGACAGAATTTAGAATCTGTTGACATATTAACCATAGCTTGTAGACATGTCAATTGTAAATATACTTCTTGAGCTCAAACAACAAAACTTATATGACAAATACTTTTCACTGACAAAGATCAACTTATAACGATACAAATAAACTTCTCCTTTAACTAACGATATACATATAGTTGCTCTTATCAGACAGATATCGATTTTGTAAAATATTAACAAAACAAGTTCATCTCTAAATTTCAATGCAACTTGTTACGCTTCAAAACTAGTGATTATCACTTATATTAGAAGCTTATCGGATATATCTTATAGCTGTGATACTAAATCCAGATTTGAAATGACGTGTAGTGGTTCTTTGAGAGATCGATCCGATTGAATCTTAGTGATTTCTTCGTGCAAAGATAAAGAAGATGATGATAGAAACTGTATCTTATATTTTTTTAAGTGATTTTAGTAGACGTTTACCGTCATAGGATCCTGATTACTAAATTTAACATGTGTTCCTTGATGTATTGACTTGCCACTTTATACACACAAAATGAACTATATACCGATAGATAGACCGTGAAAGATACTTCGAAAATCTATATAATAATCATTCACCAGCAATGTAGAAAAAAATTTGTTGTTGAGATATTTCTTGACTATTGTTAAAATATGGTGCTAGCATTTCGTACAAACCATAGTATACACTGAAATAGAATTCTCTTACTCTGAGATTCATTGTGATCGATAGAGTTTTTCATAGGCTTTAAATCCATGTAAAATTTGTCTGCGAAAAAAGTTGAAAACACGTTTGAAGACAAGAAAGCTTTGTTCGGATAGGCAAAAAACGATATATTTTTGGCTAGTATTGAACGATTTCAGTCATTAGAATCATCTTTTTAGTCAAGATACATAGCATATTCAGAATCAGCACTAAAATAGCGTTGACCGATGTATGTTTCAAAATTCTCTCATGACTTTTATTTTTAAACTTATTTTTTGAGGCAGTTCTGAGAGATACCCAAGTTCCAATTTTCACCGAAAATAAAATTGATGAGAAAAGTTTGAAACATACATCAGTCAACGCTATTTTAGTGCTGATTCTGAATATGCTATGTATCTTGACTAAAAAGATGATTCTAATGACTGAAATCGTTCAATACTAGCTAAAAATATATCGTTATTGCCTATCCGAACAAAACTTTCTTGTCTTCAAACATGTTTTCAACTTTTTTCGCAGACAAATTTTACATGGATTTAAAGCCTATGAAAAACTCTATCGATCACAATGAATTCCAAAGTAAGAGAATTCTATTTCAGTGTATACTATGGTTTGTACGAAATGCTAGCACCATATTTTAACAATAGTCAAGAAATATCTTAACAACAAATGTTTTCTACATTGCTGGTAAATGATTATTATATAGGTTTTCGAAGTATCTTTCACGGCCTATCTATAGATATATTATTTATTTTGTGTGTATAAAGTGGCAAGTCAATACATCAAAGAATACATGTTAAATTTAGTAATCAGGATCCTAAGACTGTAAACATCTACTAAAATCATTTTAAAAAAATATAAGATATAGTTTCTATCACCATCTTCTTTATTTTTGCACGAAGAAATCATTAAGATTCAATTGGACTGATTTCTCCAGAGACCATCAATCGTCCTTTCATTGGACGGTATTTCAAATTTCATCATACAGTTGATTTACAAAAAAATTGAAGTATAAATCGAAAGATCTTAATTACATTTTACACAGTAAAACAGGATTTCAAAGTCTCAATTGTAATTCAATTGAGATATATGTCATTAAGTAAAACTCTATCGTTTTGAATACTATTCTACGGGACATTTAATATTTTTGCATACATGTTTATTCCAGTCTGTTTGAAGAAAAGATAGCGTTCACAAGTTTACAATAGAATGGGATATTTTCCAATAAAACCAGTTTTATGAATCAAACAAAAGAAAATTCGAAAATACAGATGTCTGACATCCTGTTTTTTTGAGTTCCGGTTTCGGTCTAAAGAAAAACTATTCCAACATTGATTAGGATCACATCTAAAACAATTTCTTTAATACTTTTGATTTATTTGCTTTGTGATTAACACTTTTTTTGGATCATCACTTTTGAATAATGTTCTGATTGATATGGTTTATAAGATACTTTGCTTAAAATAATAGAATATTTAACTATAATCTTTATTTCTGATTAAGACAAATTTTTTTCTTCGTAGTCCCATACTTATTAAGGTCATTTTGAAAAATCGGTACACTGATATTAGCTTCAAAACAATGAACATTATAAATAACTGATTTATTCAATGAATGTCAAAATATATGTTCTTACTATAGTTCTAATGTTTGAAATTACTTGTACGAAAAATGGAAACATAAACATTCAATTACTGAACCGAAGATAACAATCTCAATCAATACGTAAAGTATAGCAAGAATATGCATGAACACATGACTGGGTGTGTTCTCACCACGTTTACTTACCAACATCCCGAAAAACGAATAAATATGAAACATATGCCTGATTCACATTAACTTGTTCATCAATGTTCTTCGCCTTCGCTCTTCGTAAAACACATTTATCTTCTTATAAAGATAGAGTCTATAAATTAAATAAACATATTGAACTCTTTGTCATCAACTAAATATGTATTTGTACTATTTCTAAGTTTGAACAAATCGGCATATTTATCTTTTGACATTTTACTTTTCGATCAAAGTAGAATTTTTCAAATAACTTTACGTTAATTTACCAAGAAAAAACGACAAGTGAAACTATATGTTAGATAAAGTTCTGCAACTTAAAACAATTCTTCTGTTAATCAATTTTAGCATCAGTCAAGAAACTCAACAGGATGAAATAAATTTCTTATTCTTTATACATTTCAAGAGAAAGTGACCCGTTCACTTTTTTTTTTTACATATGTAATATGATTGAATGGATTGAATAAAATCTTGATGGAAGAAAGAAAAAAAAAATCTCGGTCGACAAGCGACAACTAAAATTTACTCTTTCTGATAATGATTCAATAGGTTCCATAAAAAAAAAAAACGAGACCGATAGAATGCAAAAATTATATTTACCTTTTCTTCTTCTTCTTCTTCTTTTTAGAATGGAGAACAAATATGGCTAGGAATCAATAAAGAACAAAACATGGTGATAACATTATCTTGATAAATATTATACTGAATATATTAAAAAAACGAAATTTAATCTGTTGTATTTATAATTTATTATAATTAAATTTGATTATTAAAATTTAACTGAATTCTATTTCATTTCACGACCACATAATTTGTCGTGTATATTATGAAAAAATTTCCGGATTTTCGACTGTTATTATTCATTATTATTATTATTTTTATATCAATTTTTTTTTATTATAATTCAATGCTTAAACAACCTCATCTTGATATTCCTCAAATTCGTTTTCGGTCTAATCAAAGTGGACCATTTAAAAAAGTCTCTGTTGCACATTATACAGCAACATATGGTTCACGCACTGATTCACATTCAAATGTTTTTAATACAAATTTGAAACAAATATGTGAAATATATGATCCTGAAGAATATATATTTGCTGATGGTGTTATTGTTAGTCTTGTTGATTTTGTTTATTTTCCGACTTTATCCAATAAAAAAGAATTATATAGAGAAAAACATCA